CAAGACTTAACAATCGAATTAATGTCTGGCAAATTCATTTTCAGTTTTTCTTATATTTAAATAACATAATATTAAAATTACAGACATTCTAAAATGCTTTGAAATTTTTATAAAAATAAAACTTAAAATCGCGTCTGGCACATAGTTAGCAACGTGAAAAATGTCTGGCAATAAAAAAAGTATGTCAGGTAGACGTATTTAAAAAGGAAAAATCAAAAATTACGCTTCTTCAAATGCAATGCTTCATCATACTGCAATACTTTATCATTTTAATTCAAGACTTAACAATCGAATTAATGTCTGGCAAATTCATTTTCAGTTTTTCTAATATTTAAATAACATAATATTAAAATTACAGACATTCTAAAATGCTTTGAAATTTTTATAAAAATACAACTTAAAATCGCGTCTGGCACATAGTTAGCAACGTGAAAAATGTCTGGCAATAAAAAAGTATGTCAGGTAGACGTATTTAAAAAGGAAAAATCAAAAATTACGCTTCTTAAAATGTAATGCTTCATCATACTGCAATACTTTATCATTTTAATTCAAGACTTAACAATCGAATCAATGTCTGGCAAATTCATTTTCAGTTTTTCTTATATTTAAATAACATAATATTAAAATTACAGACATTCTAAAATGCTTTGAAATTTTTATAAAAATAAAACTTTAAATCGCGTCTGGCACATAGTTAGCAACGTGAAAAATGTCTGGCAATAAAAAAAGTATGTCAGGTAGACGTATTTAAAAAGGAAAAATCAAAAATTACGCTTCTTAAAATGCAGTGCTTCATCATACTGCAATACTTTATCATTTTAATTCAAGACTTAACAATCGAATTAATGTCTGGCAAATTCATTTTCAGTATTTCTTATATTTAAATAACATAATATTAAAATTACAGACATTCTAAAATGCTTTGAAATTTTTATAAAAATACAACTTAAAATCGCGTCTGGCACATAGTTAGCAACGTGAAAAATGTCTGGCAATAAAAAAAGTATGTCAGGTAGACGTATTTAAAAAGGAAAAATCAAAAATTACGCTTCTTAAAATGCTTTTAAAATCCAGGATTATTACCTGGACAGATAGGATGCGCACTAATGAACGCAACCGCTACCGCCAGCCAGACTGCCCAGACTCTAACCGGAAGTGCAAGAAGGAAGACATATCACAAAATCAGCTGACCTGGAATTCTTTCTCGAAAACGTTGCTACCTCCCGTACTAGTAGTGTTGAGAGAACATTCCTCTGGTAAGTATATTTTACGGTGTTTTATTTGTTATAATTATATTTATTTAACAAAAAAATTGCTCATTGTGATAATTAATAGCTGTACCTTTGTTATGAGGTAATATTAAATCTGATACGAGATATGACATAAAAATAACAGTCCTCTGGAAATTTATAACACAGAGGACTGTTCATGTGACAGAGTAGTGAGGACTGTTTTAGTTGACGTCCGTGTATTTTATTAATATTATTTATAATCTGCACTAACCTACTGGTTGCCGATAGCCCGTTTCTTTCTTACATTGGCCTGTCACGCTAATTCAGGTCTTTTGTCTTCTATTATTATGGATTTTGGAATATAAAATAATACGTACCTGGTAACTACCTGTTTTTAAACCCTTACGGTTTTTTTTAAATATTGAAAGTATGCTTTATTGTTTTAGTATTGCTGCAATGCCACCAAAGAAGAAACCTAAAACCAAAGAAGAAATAAAAGAGCAGAAACGAATTGCAGAAAGATTAAGATATCAACTGCTAAAAAATTAGGTTTAAGAATAACTTTATTTCTCATAAGAATTGCATACATAATTCACTTACTGAGAAACAATATGTAAAACTGAGATTAAAAATTAGAGCGCACAGATGTAGGTACTACGTATATAAAATAACAAAACAAAACAGAAACAAAAATGTGGGTAGACATAATAAACTTGATCAGTCAACCAAGCAAAACATAGATGTTCGATTTTTTTTTACTAGATGTGGCATTGATGGCAGAGTCTGATATAGCAAGTTTATATTTATTATTTTATTATTTTTCATGACACTATTTAATTTTTAGTTTATTGTTCTATTTATATATTTTGGGTACATACATGGTTTACAAACATTTTAAGTATTGGGTTTTATTTGTTTTTGTCTAATTTAATTACTAATGTATAATTTTGTTTCCTTTATTGTTGTTTCTTGCGTTTCCTTCGATGTAACTATTTTGGGTATGCCCTTGATATACTTGATGTTAAGACCACTTTCTCCATTTGACGTACGTTGCTGTAGCTCTTTTAAGTTTTGAAGGTATTTCCGTTGGTATGGAGTTTGATCCGAAAATATTTTTATATGTTCCTTGTCAATCTTATTCCTAATACGTAGAATATTCTTTGCTGTGTCTTCAGATGAGAAACATACTTTTATTGCACGATTTTTCTCCGATTTATACTTTCCTAGACGAAATATTCTAGTAGGTTGAGGGCAAGCATTAAGTATTATTTCAGTAATTCGCAGTATTTCTGCCTTATCGTAATCTTGCCGACTCGTTGCAGTATAATATATTATATATTTTTGGCTCGGAGGTTTCGTTCTTCGATTTCGGTGAAGATTTCATTTTGTGTGGTAGTTGTTTGGATAGAAGATGAAGGAGGCATATTTCTTCAGATATTGACATCGGATTCAAGAAGCCTCACTTTCTTTTCTGTATTTTCGGCAGCAACAGATAATTTTGTGAGTTGGTCTTTAATTTTTTTATTTTCCAAGATAATATTTTTTGCATGGTACTGCTAATATTAGCGGAGTCAGCCTTTATTGCAGCAACGTTTACCGAAAGCTTATTTATACTTTCAGTTTGTTCACTCTTAGAGGGGTTTAATAAGTCCAGCATTTCAGACATCTGCTTTTTTATTTCAGCAATATCAGACTTGGTTGCTTCATTATCGTCGGGTAATTTTCGTTTATAACGTAAAGTGATTTGCGGTGTAGCTTCTTTATGTGACTCAGACAAATTCGGATAAGATCCGCTACGTCCCGCACACATGCCACTTCCAGGCGGTGAGCGTGGTAAGCTCATTGTAGATCTATGTACGAAATTACTCACGTGGGAGTTGCGTGTGCGCCGCCGTCGGGTTCGTACGTTGGGGAAATACAGCGGTAGATATTCCGACCTTGTTACTCAAGGGGGTGACGAGCGGTTACCGCTTCGATTACACTTTCTTTACTTTAAGCTCGCTTACACAGTAACGGTGTATGTCACTCGCGCTCGATTTTGCAAGAAGTTGTTGTAATTAGTCGCCGTCAGGTTAGTAATTGGTTAAAGAACTTTTTGAATTTATTTAAATGAATAGTAACACGTCTGCTCTGTGCGCTCGTCGGCTTACACAAAATTATCTGTAGAAAGAGCAACTGAAGGAAAAAGAACGACGAGACTACCAAAGAAAGAAGGAATAAGGTACAAGATAGTCAGTTAAAGATATGGGTCGACGTAAACACAAAGCTGTGACTAAAGAATGGAGAAAGCACTGTGCTACCTATCGCGCAAAAAAAAGCTTTGAACGAAATTATAAACAATTTTGTACGACAAAATACGCCCGAATCCGAGGGTTCACCTTCTCCTCAAGTTCTGTCTCTCCATCAATACACACACACACACAGGAGGTGGACCATTCCTAGGGCCATGGAACAATAGCGCCTCCATCTTATCGAGAGACACCCTAAGGCCCAGGGCCCTTATCCGTCTCACAACAAGGGAGGTGCCGACCGTTGCGAGTCGAGCCATCTTCCCATAACTTGCCCTACTGGCCGATACGAGGGTGTCGTCTGCATAGCAGAAGACGCGCAATCCCGGAAGAAGTGCGCCCCTAAAAACCCAATCGTAGGCCATGTCCCACAAAAGCGGCCCAAGGACTGAGCCTTGAGGAACCCCACACCTCACAGGGTGGTAGGAGACTGTGCCCTCCCTCTTGGAGTACACGATCTGTCTCTCCACAAAATAGTCCCCCACTATTTGGCGACCTCGAAAAATTCAACGGCCTCTCTAATCACACCAAAAGGGAGACTATTGAAGTCATTGGCAATGCCTAACGATACAAAAAAAATTTAAGAAGAGTGAGAGAAAACGAAATAATGAGCATTTTTCAAACATTTTACTAAATAAAATATGTAAAAAATCATTATAAAATCCTAAGCCAGAACTCTTCGCTTTCTCTCAGCAGAGCATACCTCTATGATGAAAATTGTAAATTTTTTCACTTATTTAAGAAAAGAAAAACTAGGGTCTAGACATGGGAACTCCACGGTTTCCATAGGATCTATAAGATGTCTAGGCAACACAATTAAATCCTAGGCCAGAACTCTTCGCTTTCTCTCAGCAGAGCATACCTTTATGATGAAAATTGCCAATTTTTTCACTTATTTTAGAAAAATTAAAAAATCATTTAACTTTTGGGTCTAGACATGGGAACTCCGCGGTTTATTATATCTTTTAGATGTCTAGGCAACACAATTAAATCCTAGGCCAGAACTCTTTGCTTTTTCTCAGCCGAGCATACCTCTATGATGAAAATTGGCAATTTTTTCACTTATTTTCGAAAAAACAAAATAACTGTTGTGTCTAGACGTGGGATCTCCGCGGTTTCTATTAGGTCTAGACAACACAATTAATTCACAGCAGAGCATACCTCTATGATGAAAATTAGCAATTTTGTCACTTATTTTAGAAAAATTAAAAAAAAAAATTTTTGGGGTCTAGACATGGGAACTCCGCGGTTTCTATTAGATCTATTACATATTTACAATCAGTTCAAGCCTAGGGCAGAACTTCTTTTTTTATTACAGCATAGCATTGGTGTTTAACGAAAAATGACAATATCTCTATTCTCTTCGCTTTTCCTTTTTTTCAGTGCAGATTTCGAATATATTATGGTATGGTATGGTATGGTTTGTGGACTCGTTTTCCGCACTTAGACGCTCACTAGGTCCGTTGTACGTGAGCCCTGGCTAACTAAGCCAGCCTAACTCCTTCCAGAAGCACAGAAGCTTCCTGGGTACTTCGCAGGCTTCCCGGAGCGACCTCACTGTTCCGAGGATTTCTGTACGTTGTTTAGCCACAGCCTTGCATTCCAGGACTACGTGGGTGACTGTTTCCTCTGCGTTGAAACAGCCTCTGCACATGGGGCTGTCTGTTGCGCCTAGGACATTAAGGTGTTTATTAAGGAGGCAATGGCCCGTAATTGTCCCTATCATTGTTTTGAGGTTATTTCTGGTTAGATTTAAAAGTTGCTTAGTCAATCTTGTGTTAGACACTGGCAGAACCATTTTGGATTGCCTGCAGTCCACACTTGATGACCAACGTTGGTGCTGGAGTTCTTTAGATCTCTGGCGAATCCATTTACGCACTTGCGAGAAGGGCAAGGGTAGGAGCGGATACGGGCCAGCGGGCAACATTTCCGAGCCTCTCCTCGCAAGCTCATCGGCTGCATCATTGCCGAGAGATCCACTGTGTCCCTTAATCCACTGTAGGGTAACTATGTTTGTCAGGGCTATTGCCTCCAGTGCATTGTGACACTCCAGCACCAGTTTGCTGTTTGTCGTTTTACCCCCCAACGCCATCAGCACAGACGCGCTATCGGATACGAGCTTAATACAAAAGTTATTAACTCCTAACCGCTTTACGCCTCTGGCAGCTTCTGTTAGGGCAACACACTCGCATTGAAAAATCGAACTGTGTGTGCCTAGAGGTAGGTGTGTTTTGATGTTGAGATCTTGAGAGAATATGCCGGCACCGGAGCCGCGCCCTGTTTTGGAGCCATCAGTGTATATGCGTAGCTCATTCGCGGACGATTGATCACATTCCTCTTCTCTCATTTGTACATGATATTTCTTGTTTAGCATGTGTTGATTAACGATCCTATCGCATGGCGCGGCTATTAGCGGTTGGTATTCTATTGCCCTGTTTAGGATCGCTGTGTGTGTGCTGTAATGATTTTTACCCCATAAATCCAATACCATAAGCCTGATGGCCGCCAAAGCAGCCTCCTGCTGTATGTGTATGTCTAGGGGTACAACTTGGAGGGCTAGCTCCAATGATGAAGTTGGCGTTGTTTTCATGCAACCACTGGCAGCGGACAAGGCAAGCCTTTGGAAACGCCAAAGTTTAGTTATTACAGTTTGGAGTTCTGTCCTCGGCCACCAAACTAGGGCTCCCTAAGTCAGCATTGGCCTGATTACGGCAGTGTAGAGCCATAGCGTAATCTTAGGCGATAAGCCCCATTTGACGCCTAGCATCTTTTTACATTGATAAAAGGCAATCGTGGCCTTGTTTAGTTTATGTTCAAGGTGTTTATTCCAAAGCAGTTTGCTGTCTAGAATCACACCTAGGTACTTGACGTTTTCCTTTAGTTTTAGTTCTGAGTTGAAGAGTTTTGGTAGCCTGTACGGTCCAAGAACCCTTCGGTTTGTGAATAAGACTAGTTCCGTTTTTGATGGGTTGACAGATAGCTCGTGTTGATTGCACCATCTCTCAATTACTCTGAAAGCCTTTCTCATCACATAAGGTGCTTTCAAAGTTCCCCGATGCTAGGATAGCTATATCATCCGCATACCCTACTGTGTAGAGATTGATAGCATTTAATTCTGTGATGAGCTCATTTACCACTAGATTCCACAAGAGCGGCGAAAGGACACCGCCTTGTGGGCAACCCCTGCTGACAATACCACGCGTAGTGGTGTTGAAATGAAATGAAATGAAATGAAATAGTTTATTCTTGCAAGTAGGACTATATAAATCACTTTTACAATGTCTTCCTAAACTAGATGAAGTCGACATTTCCTAACTGACTGCCCTGAGAAGAAATGTCGAAACAAACTCGGGGGGTTCACGGTGAACTGTATGGCTCGTTGTTTCAACATATTATTGATCCACTCTGTAAGGGTCGATGGTACTCCACAAGTGACAAGTGCATTGGTAATGCTCGTGAAATTCGTTTCGTCAAATGCACCTTCAATGTCAATGAATGCGCCGAGGGTTGACTGCTTTATTTTCAGTGAGTTGCCAATGCGAGATACTACGTTATGGAGTGATGATTCTGTTGATTTGCCTGAGCTGTAGGCATGCTGATTAGGATGGAGGAACTTAGCTAATGATACCCGACTGCGTATCTCCAGGTCTCCCAGTCTCTCCAGCGTTTTGAGGAGGAATGATGTGAGACTGATGGGTCTGAAGGATTTCGCTTGGGTATAGTCCTCTCTTCCTGGTTTAGGTATAAAGATGATTTTTACTTCTCTCCATTTCAGAGGTATATAGCGGTGAGCTATGCAGGCTCGGAATAATGGCACCAGATAGTCCACTATAAGGCTCCCACCCCATCTTAGTAGGCCTGGGAATATCCCGTCTATGCCAGCAGCTTTGAATGGAAGAAATGAGTTGATCGCCCATGTTACCTTTTCTCTTGTGACTATTTTGTCAGCTACCTGCCAGTCGGAGTTGACGGTTACTCTTTCCGCGTATTTCTGCCATGACTGCTCATTGGCAATTGTACAGCCAGGAAAGTGAGTCGCCAGCAGTAGCTCACATGTTTCTGCGTCGGTTTTTGTATATGTGTTGTCAGGTTTTTTTAGGCAGCCGACCGAGCGATAGGTTTCTCTAGAGAGGCATGATTTCACTCTGTTTGCCAGGTTATTGTTTTCAATACTAGTGCAGAAGTGTCTCCAGCACTCTTGCTTTCTAGTACGAAGAAGTTTTTTGAACCGCCTTCTAGCGACTGTATACTTGTCCCAATCCCTAGGCATCATTGTGTTGCCCGCTCTATTGAACAGTTTTCTGACCTTCCGACGGTTTCTCTCCAATTCTGGGCACCACCAGTTCTGTTTGCCCCCCCATCTTGGCACGGTGAGCGGACATGACTGCTCATAGCTTGTCAGAAGTAGGGACGTTAGGTTATTAGCATGTTTGTCTATGTCTTGTGCATCAATGATTGTTGGTAGTGTTAGTTTTACTATCTCGGAGCTGACTAGTTTGTGAAATTTTGCTGAATCAGTTCTCCGAGGTATTCTTCTAGGTTGTGGTTTAGGTAGGTCCCCTTTGATTGCAAAGCGGATCCACCTATGATCCGAGCATGATAATTCACTAGACACATGCCAGTCATGTATCTGGTCTGACAGGCCTACCGTTATCAATGTTAAATCAATTATGGTTTGTGAACGTGCGTTGATAAATGTTGGTTCTGAGCCGCTGTTTGCCAGGATAAGATTATTACTAAGTATGAAATTAAGCATATTCTCACCTCGAGCGTTGGTGTTAGCATTACCCCATAGCGTGTGATGTGCATTGGAGTCTGCCGCGATGATGAGCTCCAGCTTCTCCCTCTCGCAGTAGTCGGCTAGAAGACCGAGTTCCGGAGTGGGCACGTCCTCGTCGCCAGGTAAGTAGGCTGACGCCAGGACAATGTCTGGAAGCTCGTTCCTGGGTAACCTAACAACTGTGAGGTCCCTTGAACATAGTTCGTTTATTAGTAATGCTGGTACATGCCTGGGTATTAATATGCAGGTTCTTGGGTTACTTACGCGGGTGTCCAGTAGGATTTTACCACCGGTGTTACCCAGGCCGCACATCTTGCCATTCCGGATCCACGGCTCCTGGATCGCGGCGATGGTCTTGGGGTTGGTCTCCAGCAGTCTACGCAGGGAAGCCGACGCTGTTTGACTATGCTGGAGGTTGGCTTGAATAAGGTCAGTTCGGCGAAGGGGAGGAGCGCAGACAGCTGTCGCTGTATTCACTCCCCCCGGTCTCCTGAAATAACTCCTCATCCGATGTTAGTTGTGCCGTCTCCATGGGAACGTGAGTCTCGGCCACTCGGCTTTCCGCAGCCTTCTCCGTCAGTGACGTGGAAGGCATTGGCCTCGGCGTCACCGTCCCCGATGTACTGGCGATGGCTTCAGGTGGGGCGTCAACCACCTGTGAGGGTTCATCCTTATCCAAGATGCGGATATAAATGTTCCCCAGCAGATAGTAAATACGCCTGTCTTGTTTTTTGATCGTTACGATCTCGGACTCCGGCACACGAAAGAAGAGAGAGAGACGCCTGTCGGGTCCTTTGTTCTCCGTTCGTGCGTCAGGGTCCACGACCTGATGTTTAAGTGGCGGTTCTGCCTCAAAATCAGTCTCATTAGGTTCTCTGTGCTACCAGTATATTCTGGGACGTGTAATAGGCATGGAATCTTTCTTGGGATTGCTGACTGAGGCCGAACTACCAACCTGGTGTCTGGTATGGGGTTGGTGATGGCATCACAGGTACCGGTCAGCCACCTCAACGCGTAGGCCTCCTCGCACCACATTTTCAGGACACCATCTGCGAAGTGCTTTGCCCCGGAACCTGATGTCATTGGGTTCAGCTGTTAAAGGAGCTGCAAAATCCGCCATTAGCTCGTCGGCTTCGGTGCCCATCTCCTACCACCTGTTGCCTTGATAGCTCCAGGGGCTGGTTTAGGGTTTACAAGTGGTCCTTGAGCAGCAGTTAACAGCTCCTGCCGTTCTGCCGCCCTCCTGACCTTCTTGAGCCGTCGCCTCTTTGATGAGCTCAAATGGTCATGGTCGGTTCCTGTATTGCTGTTTTCAGGGCCGTCATGTCCATGGATGAGGACGCTGCACCGGGTACATTCACCGTCCCTAACACGGTCTTCCGCATCGATCTAACCGCGGGTGCCTCACCTTCAGACGCAGACATTACTGTTGCATCATCCGGAGTGGCCTCCTTTGGCTCAACCGACGCAGTTAACCTGGCCGCGACGGAGGACGCTTCCCTGTGCAGTGGTTTTGCGATTTCTGTTGGATTGGGTACGGTCCTGGGGGCAGCCCGGTTTGGCTTGTCCCCAGTCGATTCCCTCTCCTTCAGTTCTCTGGACGCTGCCAAGATGGGCGCATCCTTGTGAGAAACAATGGCATCAAAGTGTCGTGTCACAGGCGCCTTGCACCGTGACCCGTCCTGAGACGCAACCCTGTGTTGTTTTGTAGATTCCACATCCTTAGATGTGGCCTTGTTTTTGCTTAGTTTGATTGTTTGTAAGGCCTCTTTGTCCATGAGGTGTTAGGTAATAAATTCACCATCGGAGCTCTCCACCCGCCACGGAGTCCTCGTCGGGGACGTCACTTGCTCAGCAAGCAAACGCCAGAGCTACTCCTCCGGTATAGAGCCAGCGCGTAGAAAGGCAGACGCGTCCGCACGCTGCAAGGAAGTACGGAGCTGTTCGCATCACGAGACGATGACGCAAACTCACCCCGAGTCCCGAGCCTCGCCGACGGCCCCCCTCCCACACCTCGACTCTCGCTTGGTAGCCCGCTTATGGGATACCGCAGCCGGTTGACCACGGGTAGCTAGTCCATGGCCTCCCGTGTGAGGAGAAATCCAGACCAAAGAGGCGTGTTGTGTGCAGCGCACAACTCTTCCCGGCGCACTGTCACACTCAACCCCCAGGACTCCTTCATCCTCCCGTACGGGTCCCCGCGCACGGCACAAACACGCGGGAGGTCATTTACTGTCCACCATCCTATCTTTCCGGATGATGAACTTGCAAGGACATGACCTCTCCATCCCTGCAATTATTTCGCTTGGTGGTTTCAGTTGCGTCTATTACATAGGGTAATAGACCAAGAACGGGGTCGGCAACCTCGAGAAGGATAGTCCACCAAACTTGCCTTGGGGATCTCAGTGACCTGCACTCCCCCCAAGACCACGCCACCCTACCCATCAGAGGGATGTGGTAGAGTAGGTCTGCACCTGTGCTACCATGCGATGCAAACATGTCGTGCTGGGAACCGTAAAAGCACAGGCCAGACCTTCCCCTCGAATATATTTTAACAATCAGTAAGAATCCAATGATTCAATAATTTTGATTTGGCTGCATTGTGTGTATATAATTAAATGAGGGCTTAATTTTGTGCGGTCGTTTGTGGTTTGTGTAGTTTTTATTAAGTCATCATATTTAGACCAATTTTGTCCGGAAAGTGCGAATGTCACGTAGTGTTATATTTCACCATTGTCGTCTATAATTATTGACGTTAAAGCATATTGTTTCTTGTCAAGTGTTATGGTTTTTTGAACTGAACCTAATCGTGGAACGGTTTCTTTAGTTTTGCTGTCTTCTGTGTTTAACGATTTCTGAAAAATTGGGTCTGTTAACGCACTTGTATCGATCAGTAAATGAGGTCCGTACTCTAATGTGCAGTTAGTTTTAATTTTGCACTTATAACAGCTTCTAGTCTCTGATAAACAATTTCTAGCTGCTTTTTCAATAAACTGGTCTCCATGAGAGATTAATAAAACTATATTAATTGGTAACAATGTATATTTTATATTGATACTGTAACCACATATGAACCTTAAGCTTCAAACGTAGCTTGGCTCATCTTCAAGAACATACTGACTTACAGTGGGCGACATTTGAATTAGTGTCTAAGTTTTGTATATTTCTTTCAAAGTTGTTTTAAATATTGGTATCGATTGAAAAATTTCGGCACGTTGTACGAAATGTTCTTTTAAAAAAAAATTCGTGAACGCTGTGTGCCATCAAAATTATTTTACAGTGTGAGTTTGAAGTCATTTCATAATTCTTTTTGTATGCAGCTAAACTACTTAAATTGCCTGAAAAATTGAGTCAAATGCACACGTGGATGTTAAATTTAGTATAATTCTATTTTTTTAATGCAATGCGCCGGCAATATTGCCGTTTAAAAGAATCGGTAACAGCTGCCGCATTGAATACTTTATTAGATCCAATCGGGGCACTCATCCTAACACGTTACTTGGGATCGCTTTGCTTTAGATGAATATGATTTCACTTCAGGAGACTTTCTTTTGTTGGTATGTAAGCCAACTCTTCTTGTATAGTCCAAATGTTTTGACCTGGCATATTATCATCATTTACAAAATTGGTTGAAGTTAATTTTGTCGGAGTTTCAGTTAAATCGCTATCGTTTTTTAAATGCAGAATCGGTATTTCCGGTAAACAGTCACCGGCATTGGAACGCTCGGTTATTTTACAATGCAATCGTTCTATATGCTTTAATACTAACCTATCTATTCGCATAGGAAGTTCTCTTCGAAATTCTCGAGTTTAAGGTCCGCAAATTCAGACTCTATAGACTCTGTCGTAGCTTTTATATAAACCTTTTTAAATATTGGTACCATTATAGCTGTCCAAAGAGGTACATATGGTAATAGATATCTTATAAGATTTCTTGCGAACTCTGGACTGTAGCACGCATTAATTGTATCACCAGTTAAACACAAATTGCCGATAATTAATGCTTTAACATATATACTATCTCGCCACGTGATACAACCAATACCATGAATTTCCGTTTCTGTATCAACACAGAAATTATCGGAGTCTTCTATTATGTCTTCTAGTTTACTTTTGTCATCACTATTTTCGAGTTAGAAAGCAAAACCTTTTATATGTTCCTCACGACCTCAGGGTGGAAGAAGCCGCCGCGATATTTGAGGCCATCACCACCGACCCTGACCAAATATAAAATGACAATAATAATAATAATAAATAAATAAATCAGTGGCGCTACAACCTAATGATGCTTTGAAGTACTGTTATAAAAATGCCAAGAGAAAGTGGGTCACCTTGTCTAACCCCTCTTTTAACGGCTATTTTGGGTCCCCTTTTTTCTAGTTTGATTCGGCTTACACTTTTTGAGTATAAATCCTTAACTAGTTCAATCACCCCTGATGGTACCTTACATTCGTGGAGGGCATTCCACATGCTTGTTGTGTGAGATGGAATCGAAAGCTTTTGCGTAATCTATAAATGCCAGATATAGTGGTCTCTTTTTTTCTTTATACTTCTCAATAATTTAATCCACAACATAAATATGATCAATTGTTAAAAAACCTCGTCTGAAACCAGCTTGTTCTGCAGGTAGAAAACCCTGTATATGCGTGGAGATTCTGCTCTCTATGCATGAAGCAAATAATTTGTAGTATTTTATGAAGCAAAATATTTGTAAGATTTGGTTGTAAGCTTATCGGTCTATAGTTACCAATGTCTGTAGGATCACCTTTTTTATATAAAAGGATTATATCTGACTCTGCCCATGCATTAGGTATAGCTTTTACCTCAAGTATTTTATTAAAGAGTGTTGTTATAATTGGCGTTAAGAACAATTTACCTTAGATTATGGCTTCGTTGGGTATTCCACCTGGACCACAAGTCTTTTCTGTTTTTAGCTTGTTTATCTTTCTTAAGGCCTTTCTCTTAACACTACCATTTTTGGGTAATTGATTTTCCAGTGTCTGTAGTCTATGTGCCTCATATTCCCTTTTTATATTCTTGTGTACAGATTTATAAAGAAGGCTAAGTTCTTCCTTTTCACCTCGTGACAAAGGTTTTTTATGTTGCAATTCACTCCTTCTTTGTAACATATTTGTTGTATTATCTGAGATAGTGAGATCAGTCGTCGCACAGTCGTTGTTGTGTGCGCACGCGTACAGGTGATCAGCGTGGTCAGTCCTTCAATATGGATATCGTAAAGTGTAATAACTGTAACATAGTTATTTGTGAACTATTGGCTTTTGTGCAAAATAAAGCTGATGTAATGGATGAAGACAGTATACTTCGTCTGTGTTCTACTGCGTTCGCAACGGATGAAATCACACAGGCGAAAAAATTACTTACATGTAGACGCCACGAGACTGTTAAGGGACATTATTAAACTGCAAGATAATGTGTTGTTTATAAAGGAAAATTATGCCACTAAGGAAATGGTTTTGAGTCGAACGTCGGGGATGTATGGTAACAAAAAGAGAGAGGCTGCTATACAAGACAGTTTTGAGTGCAATAGTGATCCAATTGGTCTTTCGCAAATTATTTCAACGGAAGAATTTCAAACCGATTCAACGAATATCATTCATACTTCTTGCATTGACAACACAAAGATTCAACGCCCGGTGGCTCAGTCACTGTCATCTGATTCGCTCGCACGCAGGGTATCATGTCATAGCGACCTCTCACTTTCGTGTCCAACCGAGCGGCCGAGCGGGGAAACGGGTTCTGGCGGTATACGACCTGCGGTTTCGCCTGCGCATGTAACATTGCGGCGACCGGCGAGAATCGAGGTGAGTCAGCCTAGCAACAACTCATATTCCGATGCGGCTTCGCGCGCGCCTCGGGATTCGGAGGTAGCGGGTTCGAATAATGGGAGAATTTGCAAAAATGATGACTGGGTTCTGGTGCAACGAAAGCGAAAGAACAGATTCACTGCGATGAAGGGAAAGGCAGATAGTCAGTACAATTCTTTTAAAGCGGCAAATACGAGAATACCGTTTTATATATATAATGTTGATATTGAGCCAAGGCTGTACATTTTGCCCACTCAGGCTTCCTTAGTTTTATATTCGTGATTATTCCCTACGTACGTGCCAAGGCTCGTACATTCCGATCATCTACAAGCATAACAATTTCCTATGTATGTACGTGCCCTGGCTGTACAGTTTATCACTTATAAGCATGACGATTTCCTAAATCGTCGGTGTCACGCCCCGAGAGTATAGCCCGACGCAGGCACTCTCTTCGACTGTTACAGCAGTCATTCGTATCATTACAATTAACTGTATCATGGGAGTTTCACCCCGGGAGCATAGCCAGACGTCGGCACTCTCTCTGTTCGTTAGATTGCACTTATTATATAGCAATTAACATAATAGTTATTATTTCGCTCATATTCTATTGTATAACGCGAGTGATAAATATAGAGTAAATTAAAATTATTCTATTATTTCGAACCCCTGATGATCCAGGAACCGTACATTTTGGTCCTTCGAGCTATCCGGGAATAGCGGGTCTTTCGCGTACAGTTGATCGCGTTCGCGTTTTTCTCCGTCATCCTGAAGATCGGCGCCGTGGAAAAACATCCCACTGCTGGTTTGTTGGGTCGTCAAGCAAGTAAGAAAATATCATCCGCATCAATAGAAAAGAGGAGAGCAAGGAGAAGGAGGACCCATAGCGGTCAAATAGGGAGGCAGGCGACAGGAAGTCCACTCCCAGCATTTTTAAGGACCCATAGCGGTCAAATAGGGAGGCAGGCGACAGGAAGTCCACTCCCAGCATTTTTAAGGACCCATAGCGGTCAAATAGGGAGGCAGGCGGCAGGAAGTCCACTCCCAGCATTTTTAAGGACCCATAGCGGTCAAATAGGGAGGCAGGCGACAGGAAGTCCACTCCCAGCATTCTCAAGGACCCACAGCGGTCAAATAGGGAGACAAGCGACAGTGAGTCCGCTCCCAGCGTTTTCAAGGACCCACAGCGGTCAAATAGGGAGGCAAGCGACAGTGAGTCCGCTCCCAATATTTTCAAGGACCCATAGCGGTCAAATAGGGAGGCAAGCGACAGGAAGTCCACTCCCAGCATTTTTAAGGACCCACAGCGGTGAAATAGGGAGGCAAGCGACAGTGAGTCCGCTCCCAGCGTTTTCAAGGACCCACAGCTGTCAAATAGGGAGGCAAGCGATAGCAAGTCCGCTCCCAGCACTTTCAAAGACCCACAGCGGTCAAAAAGTATATCAGCGTCCTTTCAACCTAGAAGAAGGCAACGGACGTCAATCTTCAACATACGGATGCATCTACAGTAAGTCCTTTCCATTTGTTTTGAGCACTATATTTCTGAGAATTATCTCATTTGTGAGCATAATTTTACTAAGAATGATCTGAAGCATTCATTGAGGAAGAAGCATTTAAGAATTTACAATGCAATATTTACAAAGCGTTTAGTTAATTATTATATTAAGCATAATGGAGAATTTATTCCAAGCTTCGTTTACCGACGGTCTGAAAACCATCAGGCATTCAAGAAAAACCGAAGAGTTGCTTCGCAAACAAGCAGCTTTATTTAGGTCGCTTGATAAGATTTTTGAGCTATCTAATGTATACTCCGAATCCGACAAATATGATCTTGAAGATGCGCTAGAAGAAATAAAGTGGCGATGGGATTTAATTTTTAAAACCCATATCGACATGCTGATCATGGCGGATCCTACTCGGAGTATGAAAATATATATTACGAGAAGAAAGCTATATATAGGCGCCAAAAGAGAGAGATATATCTCAAATTACATTCTTTAGAAACGCATATGGATTCACCGGTAACTTATTCATATAATACAGAAAATTTCTTATATGCCTTGGAAACAGGTAATAATCAAACCTGGAAAGATTCAATTGCAAAACAACAGCGACCTTCACCAAATTTTAGCATCAGCAAAAATTCGCTGTCAACGCATTTCGATATACAAGGTCAAGGAAATGCAAATTTAAATTGTAATTCTACGCAAGGAGAACAATCATTTCAATATAAATCGGATAAGAAAAATTCTTCGTTTTCGGCAATGGTGGAAGGTTTAGCAGAAAGTGGTAACAATCACAGTATACAGCAGATACCATCAGGCATAGCAATGATGCCAATACAGAAAACCACTTATGTGCAGCAGGAAACATCGATAGCGGCATTGGCGGAAGCAGTGGCAGCCAGTCTCGGAGTGGACTCCAAAGAGCCCACCCGGTACTGGACTCCGATAGGTCTTAGTGTTAATCACAGTATACATGCAGATACTTATCAAGGCGGAGAATTATCCAAATTGGCAGAAAGCGTAGCACAGTCGTTAACTGACTACAGCAAGGAGCAACATAGCATCATCTCCGGGGTAGGAGAGACCCTACACCATAGTACAGATCATCAAACGCAACTTGGTTGTGAAGTGAGCGGAGAAGATAAATCACATCGTGTTAACGTGGGTATCAAAAGCATGAAATGCCTACAAGACAAGCAAGAAACAGAAGATAAAGAAATCTTGTCTTCATCCATTTCTTATAAGAAGAATAAAAACTTAAATAGCAGCTTAGTATTGTCTAAGCCTTTGTTAGAAGCGCCGATTCAATTGCATACGGAACCCTATTTGCAACACAACTTAACACAAGGGTCCGACATAGTTGTAAGAAACAATAGCATAATATCTAGAAAGAGTTATGGCAAATTTTCGCAGGGATCAGAAAAGGTTACACGCAAATTAAATGGTTTGCCTATCAACAAAGGCAAGAAACAAGCATTCGTGAAAAAGGAATTTCGAAGAAGAAAAAATGGTGTTAAGATTAGAAAGGAATTTACAGGAAGGCCAAAAGGAAAGTTCAGAAAGAAAGGTAATGTCTTTCGTAAAAGGGGAAGATTGCGAAACGTTATCGTTCCGCAATATAGCAGGCTCACCGATTCAAGATTTCATAAAAGTAACATACAGCAAACTTATTCGGTTATGCAATCCTATGAGTCTAATATGAGTAATCAGAGGAAGAGAAAGAAAAGCACCATATATAAAATAATACTTAAAATTCCTTTAAGCATACAAAGCAGAGCCTTTCGTATGTTCAGTTCCATTCGTGTATAACACATACATACATTGTCGAAACTTTATATTAAATTATACATACATCAATTTACATAAATCATTTTAAACGTGAAAAACGATTAATAATATAATATCATAAACAATGAATGGAATGCCAGTTAAGCAAAATATCATATGTTAGCTAGTGGATTGACCTACTGTGAAAGACGTCAACTACAATGAATAATATTATGCAGATATCAAATTACCGATGTTCGGTTGCATTTTACAACAATTATATTTAACCTAGGTCATGGTTGCATTCACCAAAACTGCAATGTATTTTTTATGCTCATGATAGTTCTCAGAATGTGCTCAAGACAGGTAGAGGATAGGATATTACAATCATATAAAAATCCCTAGAGACTGTTAAGCATATATAATGAAATCATCTTGTAAAGCACTACATATTCATCTTGCACTTTTGCCTGGGGGAGTATGTACGAGCCAAGGCTGTACATTTTGCCCACTCAGGCTTCCTTAGTTTTATAATCGTGATTATTCCCTACGTACGTGCCAAGGCTCGTACATTCCGATCATCTACAAGCATAACAATTTCCTATGTATGTACGTGCCCTGGCTGTACAGTTTGATCACTTATAAGCATGACGATTTCCTAAATCGTCGGAGTTTCACCCCGGGAGCATAGCCAGACGTAGGCACTCTCTCTGCTTGTTAGATTGCACTTATTATATAGCAATTAACATAATAGTTATTATTTCGCTCATATTCTATTGTATAACGCGAGTGATAAATATAGAGTAAATTCAAATTATTCTATTATTTCGAACCCCTGATGATCCAGGAACCGTACATTTTGGTCCTTCGAGCCGGATGCCGGAGCAGAGAGGACCGACGGAGGCAACCACTGCATATGAGGATAGACCTACGAAAGTCAGGAGGTACAATTGTACGTGTTTTAGTATTTAAGCTTATAAAAGAAATTTCTAGAAGACCAACGTTTAAACATTGGTGAATTTATATGGACACATCTAGCCCATTGGGCTCTGAGGAGCACCTAGACCAGCGCTCTAGCACTCAGAAAAAGTTTAGGCTAATTGCTTTGTTAGTGCTGGTCTTGTTAGCTATCATTCTGATTGTAATTTCAATCATAAGGAACGAGCAAAAAGTAATCTCTCTCAACGCTGATCAGTCTCGTATGCTCAAGAGGATTTGTGAGGCTACTGTATCAAATTGTTAACTATGGCCAATTTTAAAGATATCACAGGCGATGAGCAGGCCACAAAACTGTTCCAGTCGACCTTCCAAGCACCATTACCTATGTCAGGGTCTGCAAGTTCTAAGCTCAGAGACCTCCCTGCAGGTATGGATAACTTCTCGGCTCATGGTAGTAAACGTGAGGTGTCCATGGAATACACAATGTCACCACTATCAAACACACATAGGTTACACAGTAACAGCCGTAGCAAACGAGGAAGCAATACGCGCACCCGCCCGTCCTACTATCTTATTTGACGGAGCCCTAAACCAAGTTGTAGCCAGGATGACTTCACTTAACATTACGTTAAAGCGCAAATTCATAAACGGGGACGGCAGATTCATTTCGTCCGTAGCGCAAGTCTTTCACGAACTTCCAAAACAATATTCTGCACGGAGCAGTGCTTATACTGAATCTGTTGCGGTGTCTATCGCTCGAGCGTACGATGAAGGTAGACTAACAACTGAACCACCACTGGACATGCGCGGAGATTCGGACATAGGTGACATGTTACCCACTTCTACCATACCTTCAGCTGTACCTTCAGAAGGAAGATTGGCTGCTGCTACCCCCCCTGCCAAATCTAAGTCTGCATTAGTGGTTCCATTGCGGACAGTCAGAACCGTGGCTATGGCTTTCAAAGGATACATGAAATCAGAACCTCCAAAGAGTTCGGCCATGGTTGCCATAGAGTCGTACGCAACAGGCAGTGACCGAGCAGCTACACAGCCATATATAAGCGCAACGCGAGGAGTTTTAGCTCGCGATATCCCATCGATCCAGGAGCTAATAGCTTATGCTGCGCCTTACAATGTGTCGCATGTTGACACGGGACCCGCTCTGCGGGGACTGTTGTATGCATACCCATTCTCTGAAGATGTTTGGAATGTGGATTCTTATGATGCTCGTTTTCTGCGTAGGCAGACACGCAGTACAAGAACGAAAGACAGAATATTTATAAGACAAACGCCAGCAGCTGACAGGATAGCTATCCGAGTTGCGGCTGTGACTTTGCCTGCTTTTGCGTCTCATCTCAAGAACCTGGATGAGGGAATGGCAGCACCAGGTGTAAATGGTGTTAGTATGTCAGGAATGGATACTGATTGGGTCGCCGTGCCCGTTAGTTCTGATATGTTGGGATGTCCGTGGCTATTGGAATACCCACTGATCCACACCACCACAGAAATTTGGGCTGGCAAACTGTGTGTATTATCTCATGCCGACCACGCAACCAACAACCACGATGCTACAATACGATCCACGGGAATGCCCGCTGCCCACCAAGTACACATACCTGGTCCAAAGAAAATTTTGTTGGTGTTGTTGGACGAGAATACGTACGCGCAGGCTACTACAATCCGACTGCCCGCGATAGGCAACATTCATGTATATAGAGGAGCGAGGATAGCTGCAGGGGAAAACCCATTCAATGGTTTTTGGAACAACATAGAGGAACATTTGTACGGGCTGATAACTGAGGAAGCTTATCCAACGTCCTGTCAAAATATGACCCGTTGCCTACAATTTGTTGAAAATAACCTATGTACATCTATGGCTTTCCAACTCGCTGTTACCCTGGCCGCAGAACTCTCTTCCATCCTGCCAGAGTCGCCAATGTTGCACGCGGACGAGGAAGGAACATACGTAAACGAATTATCTGGTGGATGGACTATAGGTGCCCATGACATGAACACAAGACGCCCCAGGCATACTTGTTCAAACATAGATGAGGGCACCGAAGAAAATGTGCGTACCAGGATCCGAAGACTGCTCCACGGTTATGCATTTGCGTCTACATCCCCGATGCAACAACATGCCCTAAGCTACAACACATTGGACGAAGTAGACGTGGTGACAAACGGGAACTACGTTGGAACTGCCACATATTGGCATGCACAAACCCCCGAATTTACACACCCCCAGTATCAATGTAACATATCAAACTCAATATACCGTATTTTGGCAGGGATGGGGATGATCACAAAGAACGACTATGTTTATGGGTTCAGGACACCGGATGGCATCTCTAACGTCTTGACCATGCAAGGGGTCGCTTTAACCTTTTCACTTGGGGTCGCGCTAAACAAGAGCGACGTCGCAAGGAAATCTTGGTCTGGGCTGGGAGTGAACGAGGCCCCAGTGTCTCAAACACCGATACGGGCCTGGATTTCTGAGATGACACAAGGGATGGTGCTTCCAACCAACACAGACGCGCACATGGCTGTCAACATCAATGGAAACTTTAATATTGGCACAGAAATTGAGACCTACTATGGAATATCACCTAACAGTAACACATGGGGCCAATCTATTAATATGCCCTACCCTTGTTTCTTGCAATGGGGATCTAAGTTTAATATCGATATGACTGGGTCATATGAAGCCACGGAAGGTGTCATAACGGCAGCATTCGAAAGTCCCCACCTACTGGTCGAACACTCTAGTAATGTATCTATCTCATGGTTAGCTACCACCTTGGACACACGCGCATACTTACCTGCAGTGTATATGGACTATGCACGTACAGTCCCCTACATGTTGCACCTATCTGCTGAAGACTGGCAAACTCATTCTGCCGGAAATTCACACACGTACACGGTACCGATGGGACTTACTTCAAATCTGATTTCTACTTCGCTCAAACATCACTACAGACATGTGGCCAGTCCAGGCGCTGCACTTATAATTAATAGAAACGCCATGAGGGCTAAGATCACCTCCTGGTCTGTGACTAGGGTTGCCAACCATACTATATAATAACGTATCCTACTTTATTTTTGGTAATTATACTTTATACTTTTACATACAAATAAAGTATGCAAAAATACTTTATTGTCAACCTTTACTGTGGTGCGTAAAACAAAATACTCATTATGGGTACTTAACGATTCATAATTGCTGAACGAAATATTTAAAACGGATAATGGAAACAATTTGTAATTACTGAACGAAATGTTAGATGTCAGTTGTGACTTATGACATTTGTCAATTGTCACAGATGTCTTTCATTATCGACGAAATTGTACAAAACTGGTCCGTTAGTTTTGTTTATAAGTGAAGAATGCATTTTAAAGTAAATATTAATGCTGAAAATTAGGAGTAAATATTAATGCTGAAAATGACGAGTAATTCTGATAGCGACACACCAGTGACTCCTAAAAAAGCTAAAATAACAAAAGTTTTACAAAAATATAAACCTGAGTGGGAAAAACAATACAACTGGCTAACAAGTGATCTTCAAAATAAAAGTAATGCAAAATGTATTATCTGCGGCGTGAATTGGTAACAGTTTTGAATACCATCGCACTTTTTTGACGATACTAATTATTTAGGAGTCTCGGAGGACCTTCATTGGAACACCTCCAAGTGAGTTTTGCTCCGGAAACGCGTCAAAAATTTTATAAAGATTTATAAAGTAAACTTTGCACTGTAAAACTAATTACCGCTAGTCTAGCATAAACCACATTCAAAATGGCCGATTAAGTTTATAAAATTAATAGGGATGTGAAAAATAATCGATTTTTTTTAAAAGTGAAAATCGATTTTTGTATTCGATTTTAATATTAAAAATAATTGAAAATTCGGCGACCAAATATTCATATACTAACTCTAACCTAACCAATCTAAATAATATTTGTTTTTGTGGACAGCTCCGATCTAAATAGTAATTGTTTATTCAAGCCTCGGCTTCTCGGCGTCCTGGTCGCCTTCGGCGACCAAATATTCATATACTAACTCTAACCTAACCAATCTAAATAATATTTGTTTTTGTGGACAGCTCCGATCTAAATAGTAATTGTTTATTGAAGCCTCGGCTTCTCGACGTCCTGGTCGCCTTCGGCGACCAAATATTCATATACTAACTCTAACCTAACCAATCTAAATAATATTTGTTTTTGTGGACAGCTCCGGCGCTACGGGAAATGCAGCCCCTCCACCCTTGCGTACCAAAGCACAGGCATTTTATTCAAGCCTCCGCAACCTCGGCTTTTTGGTCGCCTTCGGCGACCAGCCTCAGCCGCTACAGCTTTCATAATGCCTGTGCTTTGTTACAGCGGGTGGGGGCTGCTCTTCCTCCGCGCCTCCGATTATTTATATACACTCTAGGGGTAAGACAGACAAGACCACGTGGATAGTGGGGTGCTCTGATTCGGTTTTGGGTACTTTTTGGATATTAAAGTAAACACTTTATTCTAGTAAAAATTAAATAATATAGAAAGTTGCAAACAATGAAATACAAGTACTAATTAGAAAATACAGACGAGTAGGTATCGATAATTTCAAAAAATTTCGGAACCCTATAATCTATCAACACGAAATTAGGTTAATTTCAATGTTGATTATTCTATAACTTTAAATTTCAAAAATGAGGAAATAATCGATAAATAAATAAAACGATTATTAACAATCGATAAATTAAAAACACGATTTTTTTAAGTGAACGTCACATCACTTATAACCAATAGAAAAGTAGAAAATGGCGGATTGTTTACAAATTTTTATACATTACACAAAACTTTAAATTTTTTATAAAAATATTTAGACGCGTTTCCGGAGCAAAACTCACTTGGAGGTGTTCCAATGAAGGTCCCCGGACACTCCTAGATAATTAGTATCGTCAAAAAAGTGCGGTGGTATTTAACACCCAACCCCGTGAATTTTACAATCAGTTCAGCTGGCATTGGACAGGTATGAAAATTTGTAAATGTGTTCAAATATTGTTAAAGCTACGTTGCCTCTCCTTTCGTATAGTTATTTTATTTACATTTTTTAACTTACTTACCTAACCTAATTCATTAGGTTTTCTTACATCTTTACAGAAAAAAGTCACCAGTTTGTATATGATAGGACTTTGTACTGAAAAGTTTTAAAAACAGTTATAGTTGCATGTATTTTTGAAATTTAGTTTGTATTGACAATTTATACATTATTTTTTAAGCATGAGCATGGGAAATTAGTTTCAATGTTTCAAATTCTATGAGTTATTTTAAAAATAATCTTATTACTTGTTATTATAATAATATAAAAATATATATATTTTTCATTATTCTCATTCACATAATAGGGATGATGACTAAAAAATAATAATTAGTCCATCTTTTAGAACGCCAGAAAATAGTAGATACGTATTTTTTCTTTTGCTTCTAAAACTTAAAATAACAAAGTTACAGAGCGGCGAAAGTTCGCGCTACGTCATTATTTCGTAAAATTTTTACGAAAGAGTGACGTCACGAGCCCCTACTCCTGAATTTGAATG